AACAGTTTTGATGCTAAAAATAATGATATTGAAATAATTCTTCATTTAGGATCACTCATAGCCCACTTCAAACATATGTAGATGGGCCCAGATTAGGTCCTGGATTCCCTCTATTCTCTGATTTTGTTGTTGTTATTGTTATTGACTTCTTCTGCATAATTTTACCTGATGAGGTGTTATTATTCAGAAAGTATTCATATGAACTGGAAAATTTTTCATTCTAGACATAAACTTTTCCTGGTCCTGGGAGTCCTTTAGTGGGTTTTGTGTCATAGAAAGTGCTTAATTATGTTCTTAATAATAATCCATTTATTAATCATTATATGGGAACAACTTGATTTATAAATTGTTAATTAAATGTAAAGCTCCCTGTGTTTTCTTTTTCTTAAGCTGCATGTTACTCCTTAGTAGAGATAGTACTGTTTTGGAAACATTCAAAAGTTTTTAGAGTACATGTATAAGCTTTGGTTATTAATTTGTTTGTAATTAACAACATATGATACTTCATGCTTTCTGAGGGTAGGGACCATGTCTTAATCACCATTATATCCAGAGTGGTACCTAACAGAGTGTCTTGTAATTGCACACACTCAGTAAGACTTGTTGAATATATGGCTCTTATTCACAGATATATACTACCTTCATAACATTAACACATTAAGAGTTAAATATCTCATCCAAAGCTTCAATGGTGAGACTGCACATAAGAAGTTAGAAGTTTGGCTGTCATGGAGTAACATAGAGGCAATACAGTATAGTGATTAAGCATGGAGACTACGGAGCTATACTGCTGGGCTCTTACTCCTGGCTCCTCCAGTAAGACCTTGAACCAGATTAAGCTTTCTGTGCCTCAAATTTCTCACCAGTGCAATGGGAATAATAAAAACCTAATCCTGACTTGTGAAGATTAAGTCAGGATTAACATTAAGTCAATTAATACATGTAAAATATGTGGAATGGGATCTATTTTGTTACACAGATGAAGATATTACAGGTTTACTTTTTATAATTTCCATTACTATGAGTATTATTTACAAAACACACCTCCCAGGCAAAAGCTGCCAATCACGTAGCTTCATGAAATGCACAGTATATATATTTTTTGAATTACTGGAATGTTATCTTTGTTTTAGGAAGTAGTTCAAAACTTGAAAAGAAATTTTATCTATAATTTCATGAAAAGAAGGCAGAAGGGTTTCCTTACAAATTACTCTTTATAAATGTTTGATGTAAGTAGTCTTTAAAATCTCAGAAACCACCAGGATATCCTGAATGCATGATAAATTTGATTTGCAAGTTAGATAAGGATTTTCAAAATTACTTTATAAACAGAGATACTCTGTTCGAAGAAGGTAATATGCATAGTTCATCCAAGCTAGTGTACATGATATATTTAGTTCTAATGAAATGTGACCTAAATACATTAATGTAACAGAGTAGTTTTGGAATTATTTGTTTATAAGGCTGGTTACTCCCACTTTCCAGCTGTTTCTTGTTTCAGAAGCTTGGAGCCTAGAGGACATATTAGAACTAAACTAAACTCAACTGCCAGGGTAAAATGGAGCTTGACCAACCCATAGTTTTGACCAAATGGGTACTTTTTCTAGTTTTTGTTTTGTTTTTAATGATAATGTGAATATATGAGAACAGACTTACACTCCAAGTAAACTTTGAAATTAGTGAAGCATTCTGAGGAAAAGTATAGGATAATATTTAATTCTGTGAAAACAGGAAAATTTATGCTTGAGTTCTTAATTTTTCACAAATTTATATTCTCATTCAAATGGATGACTCAGATGGGAAGGTGCAGTTAAAGTGTATATAAATTTATTATATAGAATACATGCAATATTTAAAAATTATAAATACATCGAGAGGATATTCTTGTTGATTCTTGTACTTCTCTTCAAAGTGTATAAAAATCACTATAATTAAATTATGTTAGTGAGGCTACATGCATTTTGTAGAGATGCATTATATAAATGCTCTTCTCATTAAAATCCTTATGCCTATTTTTATTAGTTCAGATATCTATTTACAGATAAATATTGTATATCTGTATGCATGTATGTTATGTATATAATATATATATAATGTATATTACACATATATAATGTATATTACACACATATTGCCTATAGAACTTTAGGATTTAAGAGGTCCCCTAGGGCATATAGAGTAATAGTTCCCTGGAACAATTGTAATAAGTCTATATGGCTGGGCCCTAAAAAGGGAAGTTCTCCAAAATATCTGTTCAAAAACACAGTTTTATAATGAATTTTAAAAACATGCAATATTGCAAAATATCAGGAAAGAAAAGTCAGACAAAACCACGATCCCCCCAATTCCTTGTCTTTCTTTTATTCTTGTTCCTCATGTGGAAATCTTCTTAGAGACTAGAGTGTTAAGGATAAGGAATTTATAAGTGACCCCCCACCACCCAATCCCATTTGTGCGAGAATAATCCAAACAAATTCAGACAGAAGGTTCTGCACTGCCCTAGCCTGGGCAGAAACAAATTTAGATGTACTGGCAACCAATTAGTTGTCAATGTGTCTACAGGATTGGTTGCCTTAGGACATGCTCCAAAAGGAGTGGGTAGGAAGAGCTTAGTCACGACCTACCCAGGCTGGCTCTCAAATCACAGGCAGAGCACTGTGCTCCAACACAGAGAGAGAAGAAAGAAATGAGACGGGATCTGTCGGATATTTGTGAAAGCTGGATGATCCTCGAAGATATTTGCCTGGACTAGCAACGCAGTGAATTATCAGTATAGATACAGCAACCGAAGTAGGGGTTCACTGCCTGCAATAAGCATTTCTGATTTCCATCTCCTTTAATGTTCTTTGAAGTCAGATCACAGATACCCAACTCCAGTAACACTGCAAAACATTTTGTGGGGAAGAATTAAAAATTATGGTTTATAATGAATTTTTGGAATCTAGTTTTTACTGAAGTCTGTCTCAAGTAAGTTCATACACAAATTGATAGACGGTTCTAACATATAGTTTTTAAAAAATGGTGAAAATCATCCCACATAGCTTGAATTTTGTGAACTTCGAGGTAAATGGGTCATATGACAATGAGATTAAAATTTCTATTAAGGGTGCTAATGGGAAAGCCCAATTTTTTTTTAGACTAAATCATTCAAATAGATACGAATTTTGAGATAAAGCAAACCAAACTAAAATCTATAATTCAGTGTGAAAATCCAGAAAAAAGAAACTATACTGGCAAATATGAAAATAATCTATAAGGATATTTGCAAAAATTGTGGCATTCATAAAAGAAATTTTGTGGAGCACAGAGTTAAGGTTGGGAAGAAACCATGAGCTATTCAACTTCCATGATCAAAATATAATCAATTTAGTAGTAATAGAAATGGCAAAGTGATAGAGATCTTAATGAAGATTGATTCATAGAAATGGAAAATAGGAAATTACAGGAAGAAGTAAAGTGTTCACACCAAGTAGAAGATGTTTAGATTCCCTAGTTGCAAGGTTTTAAATGGCATGCTTTTTATCTTTGTGAATTTCAATTAGACTTTGCAATGGGCAAGTCAGGAAGGGAATATTAATGATGGAGAAGGCTGGGTGGTGTTCCATTCTTCACAGAGCCAGCTAAATAGGAGAGCAAATGTTTGTTTAGGTTGTAGCATATTAAATGCTCATTCAGAAAGTGGTGATTAATAGGTTAAAAAGAACAGCTTGAAATATTTACAATGTAAAGGTTTTACTCTCCTCACATAATCTTCAAAGCAAAGCTAAAATTTACTGTAGATTAGCAATGTCTGTTGTTATGAAAACTGCACCATCTAGAAAAAACATCTGAATTTTTGGTTCATAACTAACGAAATTGAAGTGTTTGGCACATATTGACTCTGAATATCATATGAGAAAAACATATCAGCATACTTATCTACCCCCCCTTTTAAGTGTCTAACATTTATAACAACTTCTTGAAGAGATAAACACCCTCTCTGCCTTGCCTTAGTAGGGTGTGCATAACATTCTGTCTTATGTGCAGTACAAAAAGGAAAATGTCTTTCTCTCTTTTTTCTTCTCTTTCTGTTCAAGTTGCACGTTTGGATTTTATCGCCTCAGATAAAACAGAAGAGAAATGAGACAGATCAAACACAATACTGAAAGTGTACTATGGGAATGGAATTACAACAGGTCCTTTTACCAGTAAAAGCCTTATAGGGGGGAAACCTCAAACCCTCCTAGACTACATCTCCTCTCCGCGCAACCCCCGCCCCTTAGCCCCTCCCCAAGAATTGCAGAGGTAGAAGTACAGAATGTACCTTTCTTGCTGGCGTGGGGTGGGGTGGGTGCGGGGGCGTGGAATGTAAACTTTTTTAGAGCTTTGTTGATTGAGTTTGATCATCACGTAGGGAGGACGCCCGTGAAAAGATGTTGGGAAAAAGAATTGCCCAGAATGAGCCGGAGGTTTCCCAAGGTGCATAATCTGCAAATGGACTTTACTGACCCGCTGGAGGGAGGTCTCCAGCCGTCAGAGCTTTGAGGGAAATGGGTCCTGATTGCAGAAGTGTGAAGGAATGAGTGGTATATCAAGACGGCCCAGGAAATCAAAGAAACTTCCTGCTGTCTGACTCCACGCAACATGCGCTGAACTTGATCCTGCGTGGATGCGCCGATGACTAAGTAGAGGCTGATTAGAGTCCCCTCGCCCTCCAGCGGGAGTGGTACCTCTTTACCTCTGCTCAGCAGCCACGTCGCTCCGGAGCCAGGGGATGTTGGGGGGCGGGCAGCAGGGCGAGGTCCCTGGGATCTAGGGCGTCACACACACTCTGCGTTCCCGACTCCGCACCAACACCCACTGGCAGCTCCCCCCCCCACCCCGCCCCGCCCCGCCAAAGGAACCTCGTGTCCTCGGGGGAGCCCCGGCGGGCGGCCGCGGGGAGCAGTCCGGGGCGGCGCGTGGGCTCCGCTCCTCCGGCGGGGCGTGGGCGCGGAGAGCAGCGCTCGGGGCGCGCCGGGGAGCTTGCCGCCGCCGGGGGCTGTGCCGCTGCAGGTGCCCAACGCGGGGCGGGTTGTTACCCCGGATCCGGGCGGGTGTGGGGGTCCCTGCGTTCCCGGGAACCTCGTTAGCCCTCCTCCCGGGCCTGGCTCCTCCTCCTCCAGGCGTGGGGCTCGTGCCCGCCACAGCCTGCGCGCACCGCGCCTCGGCTCGCGTCCCCCCACCCCGCCCGCTCCTGCCAACGCTTCCCCTCCTCCTCTTCCTCCTCCTCCGCCCATCAGCGCCACTACGGACGCCTGTGCCTCCATCTACTCCTCGCACGGCGGCCGCCGCTCTCCGCGCTCCCCTCCGGCTGCCACCAGCCCATCGCTCCCCGCTCGCTCGGCCGCTGCAGTCGCTCTCTCTCACTCGCGCTCTCTCTCGCTCTCCCTCAAGTTTCCTATCTGCTCAGATCAGGGCACAGGGAGGAAAATACGCGATTCTGCTTGCTGTTTCAGGTAAGGTCGCACACGTCGGTCCCAGCAGGAACCCCCTCCCGTTTGCCTTTGCCTTCGGGGCATGCCTCGTCTCCCCCGCCCCACTCTCCCATGCTCCCTGAAACCCCGGAGGGTCAGGTCTCCTACTCCTCCCCGGCACATTTTATAAAAAATAATTTCGACACTCCTCACCAGAAGCTTATCTGCAACTACAGTAAGAGCCGAGGCGCACGGTCGCGCGGCCGGCAGGCAGGCAGCGCGTTAGCCTGGCTCTGTTGCAGTCTTCAACTTTGCACACTGAGCTCGCCGCTGCCTCCCGGCCGCGGCTGGATCCCGGAGCCTCGCGCCCCTGCTCCGGCTGTGGTCCTCGGCTCGGAACAGCTGTCAAACGCGTCGTTTCGCCGCGGTTGATCCCAACCCGGCCGCCTCCAAGACGTGGTCTTGGGCAAACTGTGCCGGGGCAGGAAGGGAGGTTCTTTTCTTTTCTTTTATATTATTTTAGAGGGAGGGAAGAAGGGAAGACGTGAGGACCGCAGCACACCGTGATGAAAAGAATAATGGAAAAAGTGGGCTGGCCCCCCCTGGCTTTTCCCGCTGAGGTTGCGGGGGTGGTCTTGGCAGCCGAGGTTGTGGCACCAAGTACCCATCTCTCCTCCCCCTTTGCACTCTCCCCTCTGACCCATTCTCTTCTGTAGCTCTTATGTCAGTTCAGGGTCCCGCGTGTTGTTATTACGTGTGTGTGAGCACAAAACAGTTTGCTGACGATGGGGCTGGGGAAGTTCCTGGCAGAGCAAAGTCTGATTATTTGGTCATCTTGCTGTCAAGAGAGGAGAAAAAAAAAAAAAAAAAAAAAAAAAAAAAAAAAAAAAAAAAAAAAAAAGAAAGAAAGAAAGGAAAGACAAGACAATCCCCCCCACCACCTCCACTCTCACCCCCTATCATCACACCCTACACTTGCTCCTTTGGAATAATTCTATAGCCTTAACTCCAATTCTCAGTTTAATTGACATTCTTTGGGGCTATTTGGATGGTGGAACTGAATGTCATTTTAAGTGTATTTTATTTTTCTTCCATGGCTTTACAAAGAGCGGCAATGAAGACGAAATTAAATACCTACAACGTGCAGTTGCTCCTTCTTGTTTTCTTGGTGTGGGACCCAGCCAGGTGAGACATTTATTTATTGTATTCCACTTTTTGAATTCAGGGTAAACGGTGTGTTTCTTGAATGCTATCAGTGCTGAGGTAGCCTTTGAGAAGCTGAAGTATTTTGAAGAGTCAATTCCAATGAAAAAAGGTTGTATCAGGAAATTGAACTATGGAGTGGCAGAGGCTGTAAAAAGTTCACTGCTTCTTGTTTTTAGTGATACAATATGAAAGTGATCAGAAACATTTTCTTAAAAAGAAAAAATCTGCAAAAAAAAAAAAGACATCTTTTGAATTGCATATTCTTGCAAGGAATTGAAGTGGTTAAGTTATAATAACACCAAGATTCAGTAAAATAGCCAACAGTTTTTCTTTAAGCCAAACGGAAAAGCACAAGCTAAAATGATTTGATTAGTTAATTTATTTTTTCTTCCTTCTTTCTTTTCTTCTTTCTTTCTTTCACCTTTTTTTTAATGGTCTTGATTCTTTTGGTCAACATAGAAAACCCAAAGGATGTGTGAGTTTTTAACCTCTAGGTGGAGGTAGTATACAACTTCACAATCACAATAAAACAAAAGCTTGATTTATTAATCAACTCCTCATATTATTGATTTAGAGATCTTTTATTTCTAAAATGGTTACTGCCATAAACAGTACTTATTTTAAACATGTAACTAATTTTGTTTTGCCTATGTTCTACAAACATGACATTAATTTTTATTGCTTTCAATAACATCATCTTAAATATATTCTTTTCTGATTTTTATCATCACTGGGTATTTTTATTTACTGTCTAAATTTAGGATATGATTTTCAAAATATTAGAGGACTTGAAATGTAAGAGTTATAAGAATGTTCATGTAACCATTCCTTTAAAAAATAATGTCTTTATTATATTTATTTCCTTTTTAATTTTTCATTTTCCTGTCCAAGTAATTGTCAAAGTATGAAAATACTTTCTAGAATTAAGAAGCAATCTCTTCATAAGGCTTGTTTTTAATTGGAAAATAGCTCCTCATTTAACATCTTAATATTGAATTTAGAAAAAGAATATGACATGTGATCAAATAACACTTTTCATTGAAAACCTCTATGTGGAACTTTATGATTAACGTAATTATTGGTTTTAAAATTAGCTTAAGGTAATATAGAAACTTTTGATGCTGGAGTTTTGGTGAACTAATTTCCTTACATAATTTTTAAATGTTTACCTTTATACCAGTGTTCTAATGTTTTCTCTGCCCTCAAGACAATATTTGTTTGAAGTTGATTACCAATTTTTTTAATGTATCATGACTATTTTTATTTACTGGCTATGTAGTGATTTAAATGCAAATGGACTCTGTCAGTGATATTTTATACACTACACCTTGAATGCAATTACATATAATCTTTGATTTGAAAGGAGTGAACACACCATGGCCAGTTAATAATCATTGAAGATCCTCAGGGCTTAACCATATTTCCCTCTACTAGTTTTCTGTTCTATATTTGACCAGTAATGCTCATGCCAGTATTTTATTCTATTATATAAATGATTCTTTTTTTGGGCCAGTAATTTAAATCTCTGAATCATTCAAGGGGGGGAAAAATGGCAGTGAAAAGGGACATTCTGTTTTATGCATCCAGTTGCTTCTGCACCAAATTGCTGGATGTCACAAAATCAGGTCTCTGGCTTTCTGATAGAGAAATAATGGAGAAAATCACTGTTTCTAACCCTTTTCTGGCTATATTTTAAGACCATTTGCTCTTTCCGCAAATTTGTCACACACACACACAAAAGTAGCGAGGCATTTTAATTTTTAGGCAATCCCTGTCGCTCTCCTCAGAGACCAGTCAGGAGGGGTACTCCTCCAAGGCTCTCTGCAGCCCTGTGTGTGTGTGTTCCTGTTCCTTTCAGAGCCCACCTCCACCGCCTGGCTACCGTGAAGCCTGGAATACAGCCAGTGGAGTTTCCCTGATGTCTATATTGCACTTGGCCATTGGGTGGAGGTATACCCAAAGTAAGAAAGTAATCGTGGTTTAAAAGAGAAAAATGGCATAAAGAAAAAAAAAAAAGGCATTTATGAGGAAGATAGAGAAATTTTCTGCCTCTGAAGAGGTGATTTATTTTCCAATTAATATTCAGAGCACTGAAATATTATTTTAGGAATCATTTTGGTTATTGTACCTTTCTTAATGCAGAATAATAGTACTAATAGTGTCTGCATGTAGTCATCTACAGTTATATTCTAGGGGATGACTTTTAGAAAAAAAAATGAATATTCTACACCGAATGCTAAGTGATAGAAACCTAAAATAATTTTGACATCAAACTTTCTGATAATCTAGTCTTTAGTGTCCATTTTCAACAGCACGTTTATCTCCTCCACAGGTACGCTGGTATCTATAGAAGTGATAAAAGGAGAAAAGGGGTGACCCTAATAACTTAGAGAGACTTAAAATTCAAACCAAGCAAGAAAAGCATGTTGACACTTGTACAACACACATATGTATATGTGAATGTGTGTGTGTATGTATATATATCAGTTTGTAAAATTATCTGTTTAGGTTGGTGCTGGCTAACATCCAAGAAGATGAGGCTAAAAATAACATTACCATCTTTACAAGAATTCTAGACAGACTTCTGGATGGTTACGATAATCGGCTTAGACCAGGACTGGGAGGTAAAAGTAGTTTTACTTTTTTTAAACTCTCACAAAATAATGCTTTTAAATGTCAGGGGTAAAGTTCATATTCTAATACATTTCATATATGAATGCATGTATTAAAAATCGTAAATAGTAGTAAGTTATATGAAGTAAATATTATCTGGGAATCCTTTTATGCACATACAAGGTATTTAACATATTTTTTAAGAATGCCTAAAGTCATATAGAGTCCAGACTTCCTGCATGAAAAGTTCTTAAATTAGTTTATTTCTAATAGCTAAGTTTTTCAAACTTAAAGTACATTAAAATGAAACATTACTGGGAAGCTATGCTTGTATAGTATCTTCATATTTTACAGATGCCTATTTTCACAGCAGTATACGTAAGAAGAATTAAGAAACATTAAAAAACACATCTGGCTTGTATTTCAGCAAATACACAGTTTAGGATTTTATGATGATATTTCTTTACACATACATATGATATTTCTAAAATGTAGCACTGGTTGGGCATTCTTGAAAATTTCAAAGACATTTTAGCTATATATTAGCTGTACGCCTATATTTATTGGACTGTGACATAGTTTGATTTCAAATTTAAATACTGATTTTCAACTCAGAAAAGAAAATCTGTCTTTATGAAGAATTAGCCTTGGCTAAAATGTTAGTTTTTTTAATATGTTAAATTTTAATTATCCTCTAATTATCCTTAGCTAGGTAAGGAGATTAGGTGAAGGCAAAGTAGATGTATAATTCCTAAAGGATTCTGAATCAAAATATTATTACTCATCAATTATAACAGGAGCTATATATCTCCATACACACATTTATCACATGTGTGTTATACTTATTTGGATGTTTAGTTTAACCATTTATTAAAAATTAAGAAAAAATAGTTGAACAATTGATACTAATCAAAGATTTATATAGTTAGGTTATTACTGGCAACTTCGTAATATGAAATTGCTGATAAAGATGTGCATTGACTAAATGCCTAGACGTTTATGTAAATACTTTCTTTGAAAAATGTAGGTGGTGGTTAATGCTATGTATATTTGCCATTGTATAGTTTGGAGAGTCCAGGAGTCAGAAAAAGTCAGAAAGGACCCAACTTGCTAAATAATATGCCGTTTAATGCTGTTAGTTTTTACTAGAATCCCTGAGAGTTATCGCTCGCTTTAAAAGAAGTACAGGGAGCAGTAATACTCAGAAATATGGCCCATTCTATCATTCAGAGCAAAGTCAATTGTTTAATACACACTTAGTTTTTTGAAAGGAAAAACTAAAAGAAAAATAATATTTCTTTAGTAGTTAATATTTCTAAAGAACATGAATATAAGGAATCACACTCAATGTTAGCATATGACAATGAGCTATTGCCACACTTACGTGGTAGAAGTATGCCCAGCACACATCTGTCATAATTCATGATGGTGGTTTAAGAGGTAGATTGCCGTAAGGCAGATATTTTTCCTAAATCATAGATTTTATTTCTTAAAATAAATAATATACTGTCAAAAATCTTAATATTTGAGGTAAACCTTGGGTTCTGTATCTGTGAGTTTTTAGAGGAAATATCTACACTGTGGGTGTGGGGCCAGGAGGGGTAGAATCTGCCTGTTTCAGGACGTGGGTCTTGCTAGTTAGCGCTCAAATTTCTTTTGTGATATCTCCTACATTCCTTTTTACTTCCATTGTCACCACTCAAATATGGACCCTTGTCACTCTATTATTTGGGTTAAATGGCTCTTCTTTCGTGTCTTCCTTCCCCATTCCTTCTCTGATATTGTACACTTGTTAATATTTCCCAATCAGATTAGTTTTCTTTTATTCTTTTTTTTTTTTGAAGATTTTATTTATTTATTTGACAGAGATCACAAGTAGGCAGAGAGGCAGGCAGAGAAGAGAGGAGAAAACAAGCTCCCCGTGGAGTAGAGAGCCCGATGCGGGGTTCGATCCCAGGACCCTGGGATCATGACCTGAGCCTAAGGCAGAGGCTTTAACCCACTGAGCCACCCAGGCGACCCTGTTTTCTTTTATTCTTACAATGCTTTCCACATACCCCTCTCTCTTCTTGATCATGTACCTTCAATGTACCTTCATGTACCTTCATGTACCTTCAATGTACCTTCAATGGCTCTTTGCCTTCGGTAGGTGGCAGGAGTAGAAGAAGGAATACAGGCCTTGGAGGCAGATAAATCTAGGTGGAATTTCACTTCCATCCACACACAAAGCTGTGTCTTGGCCAGATAATTTCTGTTTCCTTTTATTTAAAGCGGTCATCATATATCTACCTTTCTGCGTTATAAGGTTGTTGAGAGGGTTATAGAAACAAAAAGTGTGTATGAAACTGGTGCCACGTAGTAGTGTTTCAGCAAAAGCGAGTTCCTCCCTCTTCCCTTAGAGTCCTAATTTGCCAGTCGAGGTTTTCTCCGTTCTATTTCCCGGACTTCGTTTCTATTTTGTCTCTCATTCATCCTGTACTTCAATCGCATTTGTTCACTTTCTCTTGATAATCTATTCCTATCTGCTCCCTCGGCCTTGGGTCCAATTATTTCCTCTCATTGGAAGTATTTTTCTCATCCTCTCTGATGATTGAAACCTTTCTTTTTCTATAAAGACCACCTCAACCCTGGTCCTCTAGTAAAGATCTTTCTTAACTGAATTGAAGCACCCAGATTCAATTTTCTCTCTGTTGAATTTCTCCAGCGGTTGTTGGCTCTGTATCTCATTTGGAACTTGTTATGTGCTAGCTTGGATTATTTATTATCTTTTTGTGTGTCCCTTGTTACCTTAACAAGATTGTAAACTCACTGAGGCAAGATATTGTATCATAAATCTTCTGTGCTCTCAGCAGCTACGTATCGATTTGCATATTGGGGCTATCAAATAAATGTTGATTGGTTGCTTAACTTTTCTAGGACCAGTTAATCATCTGAAAAATGGGGCTATTCATATTTAGCTGAACTTTTAGTTAGAATTGTTGAGGTGATGTGTCAGGCATCATGCTGCAGGATAGTAGTGTCTTAGTGAAGACCTACCTAACTTTAGGTTTTGGAGATTGAGGTAAAATCCCAGCTCTGGTACCCAGCAGTCATAGGACCTTTAAATACTCAGCCTCTCTGTGTCCACAGCTGTCACCTATAAAGTGTGATGACTCCTACTATTCTTAAAGCATTTGATGAATATGAAATACTATAATATATACAAAGAATATAGAACAGCGACTGGCATATAGTAGAGAGCTAATAAATAACGATACCTAGAAGACTTTCAAAAACTTTCTAAATGTACTGTTGTAAATTTAAATAATTATGATTACTTCTTAGCATCCCCAAATCTTAGCCTACATGTTCATATGTCATTTCAAATAGAAAGCCCAAGGAAATTACTTGCCTCATTATGTCCCAGAAATTAAAAAGAAGGAAAAAATGCATTTGATCCCATTTTAATATATCAAGCTGAACATCTCTGTTGATGAAAAATCTGGATAATTAATCTCAATTATTATTTTCTTTCCTTTATAACTTTATTGTAAATGAGTATGTAGGAAAGAGCAATCAGTTTTGGACTCTGAGTTAGAAAAATTGTTCATTTCACCTGGCTCTACCACTACTAGATTTTATCTGTAGCCAAGTTACTCAGGCATTCTCACCCTTGGTATTTTCTTTGGGAAAATGGCAATAATCATATTTTATCTTGAAAGGAGGATGACGAATTGAGATTCATATATATGAGAAGGATTATATAATACACTGAGTGATAAAATTTTAAGATATTTTATGATTAATAATAGTGTCTCTTTAAAATTTAAGTTAACATCATGCCACTCAACTGCTCAAAATTCTGCAGTCATTCCTACTTCATTCAGAATAAAAATCATGCTCCTTGTGGTGGTCTCCAAGGCCCTGCATGGTCTGTCTCCTTATTCTTTGACCTCACCTCACATAACCCACCTTTTGCTAACACTGCTGCAGTCACATTGGCTTCCTTTCTGTTCTTTGAACGCACCAGGATACTCCTTAGGGCTTTTTTCCGGGCTGTTCCCTCTTCCCTGGGTGTCATTTGACCTCACTTTCTCAATGAGGCTTACCTTGACCAACCAGGTAAATACTATAATCTATCTGCCTCTTAATAATTCTGATCCCACTTACACAGTTTCATTTTTTTTCTTTTTTTTTTCTTAGTACTTAGTATCCTTTAATATCTAAGATAATTTATTTCTATATCACTATTATGTTGATTGCTTACTTGTGTCTCTTTTTTGCTAGAATGTAGGCTCATTGAAGTCAGGGATTGGTGTCTGTTTTGTTGCTCGATTGACTGATGCATCGTTTATCCCAAGCATCTAGAACAGTACCTTGCAATAGTAAGCTCCCGGATCTTTCTGGATTGAATTATAATTTATTCCTTTATATTATTTTATTTTATTTTATTTTATTTTATTTATTTTTACTGTACTATCATGAAAAGAGTTGACTATAGAACTTAACCTGATCCTTTAATCAGTGGAGCAGTTATCATTTAATTAAAACACTGGCCTTCCACTGTTAGCATCAGCATATTTTAGGCTGACATCTTGGCGAATTAGAGCTATTATTACACCAGTTACTCAAATCCTGACTTAATGTCAGCTGTGATTCTGCCTTGAACTGTGTGATTTGGGGTGATTCATTTATCCTATCTGTGACTTAATTTACTCATCTGTGAAGTGGCAGGAGAGGATCTACTTATTCTATTTATATTTCACAAGGATATGATGAGGTTAAAGTAAATTAAAATTCTTGAGAAAGCATAATGAGACATGCAATTGATAAGTGTTAGTATTGTCAGGAATATGAAGAAAATTCTTCTAGAAGAACATCTTAGGAGGTAGTGCCCTTTGAAAACATGCCAGGAAAATACTGGTAGGTCTTGTGCATTTGGTAGGCTTCCTTCTTGGTGAGCCTGGAAACCTGAGATGGGCTTGTCCTGATATGTTATCTACCAAGACCATGCATTTAGATTAGCTAGAAC